TATCTCTGTTATTCCTCCTGTTTGTTTCCTGTCTGCCAACCAACTCTCTATCCTTTTCAGTACACTACCCCCAATTCCATGTGCTTTAAGGATCTTAGAATAGATAAAAACAAAAAGTTCACACCGCAACATGGCTGTGTTTCCATTTCAGCCCCAAGAATTATATAGAATATAGAACAGTACAGCACAGTACAGTCCCTTTGGCCCACGATGTTGTGCTGACCTAATATCCTACTAAGATCAAACTACCATGCACACCCTACATTTTACTATCCTCCATGTGCCTATCCAAGAGTCGCTTAAAAGTCTCTGTCTCCTTCTTGAAATATTCAGCGTTTTGGCGTCAACCACCTTTTGTGGCAGAGCTTTCCACAGGCTCAGTACTCTCCAGTGAAGAACCTTCTCATCTCAGTTCACTGTTTCAGTCATGCAGTTTTTTTGAAGCAGAAATCCAGTCATTTTCTTTCAAGGATTTAACCATTCAGGCAGCAGCATCTGTGTAAAACAGGATTCCATTTATACAGTCTTTGATACAGCAGTGCACTTCTTTCCAAGACCTTTTCAACTATTATATGTTCTTCTGTTGATGTCTCTGTTCTTAAATCTTAAATTTTACATCTGTCACGTGGCTTCAGTATTTTTAACTTCTGTTGGTACTGCTTCCTTGCCAAACATCACTAGCTCATATAGATGAGTATTTCTTCTTATCCAAAATTATAATTGATCCCCTTATAAATGGTACAAACTCTTAAAAGTTATTTTCAATAAGTTTTTCAGGTTCCCCAAACATTTCTAAGTATTTACTAATTTTCTTTCATGTTGCTGCTTCAGGTTCTAAGGTTCAACTTACATTGCATCTAAATTTGGTTGCAAATGCTGTCTACATCAAATTTGTTTAGAATTAATTAATGAATTAATAAATGATTAATAGAATTACTAAACTGAAATAAATCCATTTTCCAAATGGATCAGTAAGGAGGAATGAAGTTTTTCTTGTTCTTAGACAAAGTAAAGACTTGTCAGTCGCAATATTTCAGAAAGCAAAGTGTTAGATTTAGCTAGATATGTTATTGCAGGTTCAGTTATGTCTCATGCTTTCACATTTATTTCAGAATTAATTTTGCATGAAAGATTTACATCAGAAGTAATGTTTGCATGTGGAAATGTACATATCTATGTCACTTGTCATATTTAAAAAAAAGCTGTTCGGTTGTGAAGCAGTAATTACCTACGTTCAATATGCCTTGCAGATGGTTTCACAACCATGAAATCATATTACTTAATGAAAAATTGTTAGCTCTTTGACATTATTTGTTTTGAAATAAAGGAAATTATTTCTTCCTCATTCAGGGCCGTCAAAAGATGGAGCACTAGATGAAGATGATTTTACACGGGCGTTTAACGATGTGCCTACTGTACAGGTGTGTATAAAATGGCCTTGGAATTTCCAGTTGAGCCGAATTAATTGGTAACCACTGTCACATTTGACAGTCTAATATCTGTTTGGTCAAGCAAATGACCTTTTTTTTTGTTGAGTATAACTATGTCTTTGTTGAGGATACAGCTGCCAAAGCTAAAATTAAATAACAAGCGGGACAGAACACTGACACTTCACCGGAGGTGCACTGACGACGTTACCTAGCAGGGTGACAATACGTTTGCAACCAAACCCTCCGGTTCAGCGAGCATGTATACAATCTCACCTACAACCCGAGCTACACATCTTCTCGAAAGCTTTAAGCTGAAATTAAATTTAAGGCTGTTGTTCAATATTTACTATCTTTCTGTTACATCGGGGAGGCAAGAAACAGTGCTTTGTTGCTTAATGAATGCAGTTTGCCTGTGAAAAATTCTGCTTTTGTGCAGGTTTTTGGTTGTGACTGATAAACATATGGATAAGTGGATAAACATATTCATTGAACTTTGTCTTAGCTGTCAAATATTGAAAATACACATTTGAAACACTTCCTTGAGCAAAATACTAATGGTACTTTAGCAGTCATAACATCTTGATGGTCATGAAAGGGAGGGACATTGTGGGCCACAAGGTTGCAGATTGCTGGCCCACAGCACCTCATGGATGCTCTGTTTTGAATTGCTGGATCTATTATAGAGTCATAGAGTTGCCCAGCATGGAAACAGACCCTTCAGTCCAACCAGTCCATGCCGACCATGTTCCCAAACTGAACTAGTCCCACCTGCCTGAGCTTGGCCCATATCCCTCCAAACCTTTCCTATTCATGAAATTACCTAGAAGTCTTTTAAACGTTGAAACTGTACCTGCGTTCACCACTTCCGTTGGTAGTTTACTCCACACACGACCCATTCTCTGAGTAAAAATTTTTACCCCTCATGCTCTTTTTAAATGTTTCTTCTCTCACCCTCTAGTTTTGAACTCCCCCACCCGAGGGAAAAGACCCTTGTTATTTACCTTATCTATGCCCCTCCTGATTTTATAAACCTCAATAAGGTTGCCCCTCAACTTCCTACTCTCCAGTGAAAAAAGCTCCAGCCTTTCCAGTCTATTTTTATATCTCAGACCCTCAATTCCTGGCAACATCCTGGTAAATCTTTTCTGAACCCTCTCCACTTTAATAATATTCTTCCTATAACAGGACCAGGGCTGCACCCGGTACTCCAGGAGAGGCTTTACCAACATCCTGTACAGCCACAACATGACGTTCCTAATTCCGATACTCCAAGGACTGAGCAACAAAGGCAAATGCCTTCTTAACCATTCTGTCTACCTTTGATGCAAATTTCAAAGAATTATGTACTTGAACCTCTAGGTCTCTCCATTCTACCACAGTAGCCAAGGTCTTGCCATTAATTGTGTAAGTCCTATCTGTGTTTGTATTACCAAATTTATCCGAATTAAACCTCAGTCCACAACTCCTCCGCGCACTGACCTCATTGACAAGATTTCTTTGTAATCTTAGTTCTTCACTGTTTACTATGCCACCAATTTTGGTGTCATCTGATAACTTGCTAACCATGCCTCCTATATTTTCATCCAAATCATTTATACAAATGACAAACAAAAGTGGACCCAGCACCGATCCCTGTAGAACACTGCTGGTCGCATCTATCCTTTTTATCATGTGATAGTGTCACACACATGATGTAGAGTATTGTCAGTGTGAAGGTGGGACTTTGTCTCAAAGGGGATCGTGCAGTGGTCATTCTTGCCAAAACTATTATGGACAGATTCATCTGTGACAGACTGATTGGTGAGAATGAGGTTAAATATAAAAACCAAAAGAACTGCGGATGCTGTAAATCAGGGACAAAAACTGAAGTTGCTGGAAAAGTTTAGCAGGTCTGGCAGCATCTGTGAAGAGAAAATCAGAGTTAACGTTTCGGGTCAAGTTAACCCTTCCTCAAATATGTTTTACCCTCTTGTAATTTCTTTCATTACCTGCTGCAGCCCAGTCTAGCAGCTATGTCCTTTAGGACTTGACCAGCTTGGTTCGCAGTGGTACTGCCAAACCACTCCTGGCGGTCGACATTCATATATCCCACCCAAAGTGCATTCTATGCCACCCTCGTACATCGTACATCTTTCAAGTGCTAATCAACACGGAGAAGTACTGATTCATCAGCCTGGCTGTGGGGGATTGTGGTCCTTGGTAATCATCAGGAGGTTTCCTTGCCCATATTTGACCTGATGCCATGAGACTTCATGGACTTTGATATCAACGTTGAGGATTCCCAGGACACTCCCTCATGACTTTATGCCACTGTGCAATCACCACTGGGATGATGATGATGATGTCTCGGATGATGTATGAAGGAGGTGATTCTGACAGTATGACTGTATCCCGCTGTTGCTTTTCTTTTTGGACGAGCCCCCAGATGTCAATAAGGAAGACATTTCATTGTTGACAGGCTGTGTTTTCCATTATTGCTTTCAGTCGGTTTTATTGATTTCTTGATACTTTCTAGCGGTTGATAGAACTGAATGGTTTGCTGTGCCATTTCAGAGGGAAGTTGAGTTAACTCCATTGTTTGAATTTGAAGTCATGTGTAGACAATTTGCAGTATCCCATAGAACCTGTAATAAATTGGGAATCTTGCCTGGGGAACTGGTTGTAACAGTATCACGGAGCATGGAGCAGAGCAACATCAACTTGGCACAAGATTTTGTGCAGAACTTTCTGTCAATCATTCCAATGTGGAAGTGATAAAGGCAGCAACCTTCCTTTTCTAAGGGACATTAGTAAACCAGATTTATCATTTGCTGCAATGGACTTTTAAGTCCTATGTTCATTGAATTCAAAATCAAATTTGAAGCATGGTCTTTGGATTACTAGTCCAATGACAGTACCACAACACCATTGCCTCCCCCAATGATTTAAGATATGATTAGCCATCACCTAGAATACTATTCAGGGAGGAAAGTAGTGGAGAAAATTCACACACCATTTTTTGGAGTTCGTTGACAATTCCGAGAATTTAAGCACATGCCTATATGCAACAATACCTAGACAACATTCAGACTTGCGCTGAAGATTGTCAAGCAATTTTTGCACCAGAGAATGACCCATCTCTAACAAGATAAAATCCAGCCATTCCACCCAAACATTCAGTGACTTTGCCATCAATATTGTAGGGTTATTATTGTCCATAAACTGATCTGAACCAGTCGCATAAATACTATGGCTGGAAGAACAGATCAGAGGCTGGGACTTTAAAAAAGAATCATTTAAGGCATGTGGGCTTTGCTGGCTGAATCAGCATCTATTGCTCATCCTAATTGTCCTTGAGATGGTGATGGTGAGCTGCTTTCTTGAACTGCTGTATCCATTTGGTGTAAGTATACTCGTAATGTTGTTAGGAAGGGAATTCCAGGGTTTTGACCCAGCAACAGTGAAGGAACTGTGATATATTTTCAAGTCAGGCTGGTGAGTTCTTGGAGGGGAGCTTGTAGGTGGTGATGTTCCCATATATCTCCTACCCATGTCTTTGTTCGTTTGGATGATTGATGGTCATGGGTTTGGAAGGTATGTTCTTTGGAGCTTTGATGAATTTTTGCAGTGTAGATGGCACACACGGCAGTTGAGCGTAGGTGGTAGAGAGAGTGCATATCGTGCCTATTAATCAGATTGCTTGTCCTAAATGCTGTCAAACATCTTATTGGAGCTGTGGAAAGTAAGAAGGTGTGATATATTCCATCACACATCTGATTTGTATTTTGTAGATGGTGGCAAGCCTTGGGGACTGAGCCCATAAATTACTCACTGTAGGATTCCTAGCCTGTGACATGCTCTTGCTGCCCCCATATTTATATGGCTGGTCCATTTTAATTTCCAACAATGTAAGTCTCAGGATGTTGTTTGTGTGGATATTCAGCAAGGGTAATGCCATTGAATGACAAGGGGTGGTGATTGCCTGGCACCTGTACTGGCACTCTGTAAAAATCTGGAATTAAGAGTTTAATGATGACCATGAAACCAAAATCAGTCTACTTCACTACTGTTCTTTAGTGAAGGAAACTGCTGTCCTTACCTGGTCTGGCCTGCAGACCCACAGCACATAGCTGAGCATGCTTCTCTGTACAGTTAGACATGCAGTGCTCTGACAATGAAGGACATATCTCTATCGTCCTTCCACATGCGGGTTCAACATGTGTAGTCGGCATGCTGGCTACGTGACCATCATGTGTTAGCACCCCTACAGTCTTCCTATCTTAGACCCACATCTAATCCTCCTCATCTCAGTGCATTCAGTACAAGCCGTTATTACATTTACATGACATGTGATTTTGTGTTGCTGTCACAGCACCCTTGCATAAATTATGGTTCCCTTCAGCTATTGTTGGCCTTTGTAACATTATTGCTGCTAACTTCAAAATCATTGAAATGGCCACCCTCAGTTTTCAAGCACAGTGGCATATTGCAAATTGTCTTTGATGAGCTGGTCACCCTTAAGCACCTTCACTCTGGATGCATAGCATCCTTTGAGATTCTGTGTTTTAATTTGAACTCTAGCCCCTCATATTCTCTCAGTCGATCTGTATTTCTAATTCTCCCCCATTGACTACAACAACTGGATTCTTCTCCCAGTGCAAGTTCTCCTTCAGCCATGAGGAATTGCCTTTCACCATAACACCGAGCAGTCAGGACACCCTTTGGAGCTCCGCATCATGACGAGACAGAACAGTATCTATTCCTCTGACTACATTTGTTTCGTCGAACTACATTATCCCTTTTCAATACCCCTGCCCCCGACTTGAATGATGTCCTATATCGTGGTGCCGTTGTTTGTTGTTAATCCACCCTGCAGTCCCTGTTCACATCTACATAGTTAACAAGAACCTTGAACCTGTAGATCAAAGTCCAAGGCTAAGGTTCTTCCAGCCTCACATACTGATTTCTGTACTTCCCTGATTTGCAGTCATACACCCTTGACTATAAATTAATGAAAATCATACTTGATGTAAGGGGTTTGACTGCTGCTAGAACAAAGTGTCCTTGTTATTGTCCCATTCTTTGGTGACTCACAATATCTGTAACTCAGACTCCTGGTCAGCAACTCTGAGCCAAATAGCTATAGCTACAGGCACTCTGTTCACAAGTTAAATTCAGACTCAGAGTCCTCCAAATATCTTGCAATCATAGTACATATTTAGATACAATCCAAGTTGTCATATGCTGTCATAGCTACCACCTTCTATAGAAAGACTATATACCAAATATGTCTTGAGAGACAATGAGTGAATTGTAAGCATTTCCCTGAGCCTAAATCCTGAGTATTCACTATTATAATAAAATATTTGGAGTGAATAATTTTGGTGTGGTCAGTGTTGTAATTGTTACCAATGGTTTTGATGCAAGAAGATGTATGTTTTGTGAGGCAAATCTCTCAATAAAAATAGTGCTTTTTCTGAAATGCTTTCCCTTTGCAACTTATGTCTTTCAGATTTTTTCCAATAGAGAACTTGAAGAAACTCTCAATAAAATAAGAGAAATTCTGTCTGATGATAAGCATGACTGGGATCAGCGAGCCAATGCAGTAAGTTGTGTCAGTTCATGTGTGTAGGATAATTTTTATGCTGACATGCAAAAAAAATTCCTTGCACACTGCTAAAGGTCACAATGAAAATATTGATTGTGTTAAAGACAACTGCTGGAAAGAAGAACTGACTGCGTCTGTGTGATTTCACAATATTGTTCATCTTTGTGGGCTTATTATTTGCCTTAAGCAAGCATATTTTGACTGTGATCTCAGAATTGCAAGACTATAATTTTATCATTTGGGTGCTATAATGTCATTATTTTTATTTATTCATGGTATATAAGCGTCTTTTCATTGCCAACTCCAGTTAACCTTGAAAAGGTGCTGCTGCCTTGAGCCACTATAATTCATGGAGTGTAGGCACCTACAGTCCGGTTAGGGAAGGAGTTCCAGGACTTTGACCAAGTGACAGCGAAGAAGCGAAAATATAGTTCCAGGTCCGGATGATGTGTGACTTGGAGGGGACATGCAGGTGATGGTGTTCCCAATTATCTGTCGCTTTAATCCTTCTAGGTGGCAGAGGTCATGGATTTGGATGGTGCTATCTAAGGAGCTTAGGTGAATTCCTGTCATGCATGATCAAAATGCACTTGTGATGGAGGAAGTGAATGTCAAATGTTGTGGATGTGGTTCCAGTCAAGCAGGCAGTTCTGTCCTGGATGGTGTCAAACCTCTTGACTGTTGTTGGCATTCATTTGGGCAAGTGAAAGTATTCATTCACATTCCTGACTTGTTTCATGTAGATGTGGACGGGCACTGGGAAGACAGGATAAGGCACATAATTTCTCACCTCTGTCCTGCTCTTGAAGTTGCAGTATTTGTATGGTCGATCAAGTTTAGTTTCTGATTGCACTATGAATTTTGGTTGTCAGAGATTCGCCCAGGAACTGAAATCATTCAAGATGGTAACTCACCACTACCTTCTCAAGGGCAATTAGGTTTTGGCAATAAATGGTGGCTAGCTATGACACACATCTCTTGAGAAATTTGTTTTAAAATCTGTGATAGTAATGCTATTGAATATTAAAGAAAGTTGGTTAGATTCTCTCTTGCTGGAAATGTTCGTTGCTTGGTGCTTGAGGTGCAACTGTTTCTTGCCACTTTGGAGCTCAAGCCTGGATGCTGATCTCCAACAACCACAATCTTCCTTTGTGCTAGGTATGACTGTAACCAGTGGTGGGATTTCTTCCTGATTGCAGCTGACTCCAATTTTGCTAGGGTACCTCGATGCCATACTCAGTTAAAAGCTGGCATGATGTCAAGGGTAGTCACTCTCACCCCACATCTGGAGTTCAGCTGGTTTGTCCATTTTTGAACCAATGCTGTCATGATGTCAGCAGATGAGTGGCCCTGGCGGAACCCAAACTGAATGTTGTTTTGCAAGTTATTATTGTACAAGTGCTGCTTGATAGAACAGTTTACAACCCCGTCCATCACTTTGGCGATTATAAAGAATGGTCTGATCAGGCAATACTGGCCAGGTTGGATTTGTACTGCTTTTGTGGACTCAGCATACCAGGCAATTTTCTACTTTGCAGGGTAGATGCTATTATGTGTCAAACCACAAATAGAATACGAGGTAGATGGAGGGTAAACTTGAACTAGGAATACTTTATAGTGAGATAACAAGGTGTAGAGCTGGATGAACACATCAGGCTTTATAGTGTGTCCTCTCAGATCCAGTCGGTTTTAGACCACGTCCCTAGCTCCTGCCTCCAGGTCACCTGACCTGCTCTCTTAAAGAGGCAACACACTCCCAACTACATACATAACGGATGTGTGTGTTGTACTGGAACAACATAACTCGGGGCATGATTAGTTCTGAAGCATAACTTTTAATCCCCACTTTAATTCAAAGTCAAGACCCAGTTGTGGAACCCCATGCAGATTATAATAATCAGTTACTTTAGCCAAATCAAGAATTAAATTTGTAGTCATCTTGATCTATCCAATTCTGCTATTTAACTGTTAAACACACTAGGAAAATGAGCGCACAGGCAATTGAAAACTTTTCCTTTTTCTCTAGCTCAAGAAGATTAGATCACTCCTGATTGCTGGAGCTACAGAATATGATTGCTTTTTTCAACACTTAAGATTATTGGAAGGAGCTTTTAAATTGTCTGCTAGAGATCTCCGCTCACAGGTTGTCAGAGAAGCTTGCATTACTGTAGCGTAAGTATTGTTGGAAGTTCACTTCAACCTGTTGGGTATATTTTAAAGTATCTTTGAATTGTTACAATAAGAATATGCTGTGAAATTGCTTTCTTTACCATGCCTGCATTACAAATGCAAACATTTATTTGGAGAAGCCCAAATTACCTCTGTGACAGTTAGGACCTGTAAAGCAGCAGTTGTTGGAGCATGAGTAGTCTATCAAAATATGGCAAGGCCTGTGGCTGTATTTCTATCAACTCACCCCAGCAAGTTAATATTGCCTTTTATAAGCGTAAACACCCTTTCACAACATGCTTAGTGTTAACGACTATCAGTTATTCTCTCTGGTGCCAAAAATTAACTGTCATATGTGGGGAAACTTATTCCATTGGGTTTTGATTTTTTGGGAGATGTTTTCAAAGCACAAAAAAAAAATTCATTTCTTTTTACACTCTCAATTCGGTCTTTCTTAAACTTTATTTCTCTTTCATTATCTGCGTTGACCTTAAATCCTTCTTTACTTCACCTTCCTTTTCTGGCCTTCCTATTTAATCCCTAGTTCTAAAATCTGTTCAGTGAAGTGTTGGTTGTTTTGTTCAAAAGGGCCCTAGACTTACTTAGCTTGCTGCACCATCATGAGCTTACTTTTGGAAAGTTTGTGGGCTTTTTTTTCTGCTGAAGGGTGTGGTGGCAAGTCAACCTTTTATTTAAATTGAAGTCTGATTTCACGATCTACCAAGATGGGATTCGAACCCATGTCCCCAGAACGTCAGCATGGGGTTCTGGGTCCCTAGTCTAGTGACCACAATGCTACCACACTAAGGGCAGATGCTACAGTATGTTCTGGCTCACTGCAATGATGTTGATGTTACAATGATTTTGAAATAGTTTAGTACTTGTTGAATTTATTTGCATTTAACGAGTTGGAAAGTAAAATATTTCCGCCATAAGAGAGAAGAGATTTGAAAAATGGGAAATAGGTTCATCACAGGGAGGGACTCACTCCCTTAGTACGTAAATATCTTTGAATAGAATGCTTGAATTTTGATCAACTAACTTTGAAATTAAGCATATTTATTAGAACCCTTGCTTAAAAAATTAAGTTGTGTAAGTCAGTGAGGTTGTTGACTTGCTCACCGAGCTGGCTTGTTTTTGTTCAGATGTTTCGTCACCATGCTAGGTGACATCATCAGTGAGGCCTCCGATGAAGCGATGTTGTTCTACTCCGCTTAGAATTTATACTGTCTGGTCTGTTATAGTGAGTAGTGTCATTTCCGGTTTTGATCTGTGTGGGTTTGTATATGGGGTCCAATTCTATATGTTTGTTGATTGCATTATGGGTTGAGAACCATGCCTCTAGGAATTCCTGTGCATGTCTATGGTTGGCTTGGGCTAATATGGTTACCTTGTCCCAGTTAAACTGATGGCCTTCATTGTCCAAGTATATTGATACTAGGGAAAGTTTGACGTGCCGTTTTGCTGCTAGCTGATGTTCATGTATTCTGATGGCTAGTTTCCTTCCTGTCTGTCCGATGCAATGTTTGTGGCAGTCGTTGCATGGTATTTTGTAACCCACGTTGGTTCTGCATGTTGTGGAGATGGGGTCTTTAATTCCTGTGAGCGTTGATCGTAGAGTGGCTGTAGGCTTGTGTGCTATCATGATTCCTAGTGGTCTTAGGAGTCTTATTGTCTGTTCTGATATGTTCTTGATGTAGGGCAGTGTGGCCAGTGTGTTAGTGCGTACAGTGTCCTCTGTTGTTGTCTGTTTAGTAGATACCTGTGGATGAAGTTGCGGGGATATCTGTTCAAAGCGAAGATTTTGTACAGGTGCTTTTTCTCTTTCCTGCATAGTTCCAGAGTGTTGCAGTGTGTTGTGGCCCATTTAAATAGTGTCCTAAAGCAGCTTTGTTTGTGGACGTTGGGGTGGTTGCTGTGGAAGTTGAGGATTTGATCAGTGTGGGTTGCTTTTCTGTATACTGAGGTTTGGAACTCCTGGTTAGTCAATCATTCTACCTCAACGTCCAGAAACGGAAGTTGATTGATGGTTTCTTCTTCCCTTGTGAATTTAATCCCTGCGAATACATTGTCGATGAGGTGGTGGGTCTCTTCTAATTTGTTGCATTTAATAATGACAAATATGTCGCCTATGTACCGGATCCACAGTTTAGTTTGAATGCGGGGGAGGGTGGTGTGTTGTAGTCTTTGCATGACTGCGTCTGCAATGAGTCCTGAGAAGGGTGACCCCATTGGTGTACCATTGAACTGTTTGTATACTTGACCATTAAAGACAAAGTTTGTGGTGAGGCACAGGTCTAGTAGTTTAAGTATGTTGTCATTGCTGATGGAGCTGCTGGTCTCCGTTGCTGCTTCCTCTAATAATGTGGCCACTGTTTCTTTGGCTAGTGGAATGTTGATTGATGTGATATCCTTTGATGTCACAGCTTTATTCACATCAATCGAAGAACATATCAAAACAGACAACAAGACCACTAAGAATCATGGTGGAACAGAAGCCTACAGCCACTCTACGATCAACACTCACAAGGATTAAAGACCCCATTCCCACAACATGCAGAGCGAATGTGGTTTAAAAAATACCATGCAATGACTGCCACAAACATTGCATCGGACAGACAGGAAGGAAACTAGCCATCAGAATACATGAACATCAGCTAGCAGCAAAACGGCACGACAAACTTTCCTTAATATCAATACACTTGGACAATGAAGGCCATCAGTTTAACTGGGACAAGGTAACCATATTAGCCCAAGCCAACCATAGACATGCACAGGAATTCCTAGAGGCATGGTTCTCAACCCATAATGCAATCAACAAACATATAGAATTGGACCCCATATACAAACCCATACAGATCAAAACCGGAAATGACACTACTCACTATAACAGACCAGACGGTATAAATTCCACAACAAAAACTAAGTTGCTGGAAAAGCTCAGCAGGTCTGGCAGCATCTGTGGAGGAGAAAACAGAATTAACGTTTCGGGTCCAGTAACCCTTCCTCAAAAAATAAATTCCAAGCGGAGTAGAACAACATCGCTTTATCAGAGGACTCACTGATGATGTCACCTAGCATGGTGACAAAACGTCGGAACAAAAACAAGCCAGCTCAGCGAGCAAGTCACCAACCTCACCCACAACCCGAGCTGCAAATCTTTGCCAGAACTTTAAATGTCTAAGTCAGTGATGGAGAAAAGTATCCATTTTATATAACGTTTCCTAAACAGCTCTTTTTAGAAAGGCAAGTAATGTGATTTTCAATGTACATACAGATGCATGTGTTAATTTATAGAATTTATGTATTGTAATTTAATTAGATAAGAACCACCAGTTACTTGAGTACTTTACTTTTTTTAAGTTTCAAATTTCATCTGCCTCTATTTGTGACTGAAATGTTAATTTCACAAGAAGAGAATTATTTTAGGTTAAAGAAAATTCAGTTGTGCAGGTCAGTCAGAATTTGGGTTGTTTTTGTGCATTCAAGCTGTTCAAATTCAATCATTATTCCTTTCTTACAGATTTATTTAACAGAAAAATATGTTGCCTTTGTGTTGACCAAAATTTACTTGTTGGAATTATGTTACACAGGCACCTATCAACACATTTAGGCAACAAATTTGATCATAGTGCTGAAGCCATTGTGCCTACATTGTTTAACCTCGTCCCAAACTGTGCAAAAGTTATGGCAACATCTGGAGTAGCAGCAATTAGGTGCATCATCCGTGTGAGTACATTGTGTAACACGTCTTTTCTTTGAACATGTCTTCGTGGTTCTTTAGCGTTTGTTCATTCTTATTCTTTCATTGTGCACAGTGAAAGAAGAACTGCTGAAGTCCTTTTGCACTATTTATGAACAATACTGAATTAAATGAGTCTTTTCACATATATTAGCCTCACATATCCTCAGGAATATCTGAGATTCATTGTTGACAGATTGCTCTATCAGTTCAATATAATATTTTTAATTGGTCCTTCACTGACAGGTTTTCTTTGAAGTGTGTACTGTTGTGAAAACATAGTTAGTTAGTAGTACAGAACTTGAGTAATGTTGAGTATTGTACTCACCAGGACACATAGGACATTACCAATGTAAAGGGGACCAGAGAGCATAATCTAAGAATAAAGGGGCGCCAATTCAAGACTGAGATGAGGAGAAATGTCTTCTCTGAGTGTCGAGAGTCTTTGAAATTCCGTGCCACAGAGAGCTGTGGGGGCAGAGTCCTTGCATATATTTAAGGCTGAGATAGATAGATTCTTTATGAATAGTTGAATGAAAGGTTACAGGGGAAAGGCCGGAAACTTCAAATTATTGTGAGGAATGTCTAGTCAGCCACGATTCTATTGAATGATGAAGCAGTCTTGAACGGCATACTTCTGTTCTCATTTCTTATGGGAGCAGCTTTTTATATTGTATGAGAAGAGAATGCTGATTTGTTGAAAGTCAGCAATGATTGGTAGAGTTGTTGTAATGGAGAATGTACCAATCAGATGATAACTGACAGTTAACTGCCAAATTTTATTTAAATTTAAATCAGGCAGGTTAACTCTGGTCTGTGAAATGAACCAGAGAATGGCTGCCACCTTTTCTTTAAGTTGAAGCTGGTGTAATATGTGTGCATGCTCTTTCTGTCTATGAAGAACAGAATCCTATGTAGTTAGCTTCCAGTACACGCTGTTAGCCCGACAGATTATTTTAAATTGGTTGTCTGCATAATTCTTAAACATTTGCTATTATTTAGCAAATGTTCTTCAATTGCAGAATCCATCTAATGTTGGATACATTTTGTGTTTTGCAAGCATATGCTGTTTAGTTATGGTCAGCATCTGGCTTATAGCAAACGTCTGAAGGGGCATGCTGGTTGATATTGTCATTCAGTCTTTGCGATATATGGCCTTCATATCTAGTGATGCATCACATCACAGTTTCATTTACCACATTTGTCATGTGTATAATATGCAGAACATCTTTTTGCCTTGTAATACAGTATCTTGATAGTGGTGAACATCGCTCATATTGCTGCTGTGCAGAAGCAGTATGAAACAACTAACTTTACTATTGCTCAATTATTTTGAGTTACCTTACCCTTGGATAATCTGAGGTCGATTGGGTACTTTTCAGGACTAAAAGTGGCTTTAAGTGTGACATAGAGATACATCTTGATAGAACAACTAAACTTGATTGAAATAATATTAATTTATTATTTTCTTCATGCAGCATACTCACGTTCCAAGGTTGATTCCCTTAATAACTAGCAATTGTACTTCAAAGTCAGTGGCTGTGAGGCGGTAAGACAACACTGTATTTGCTTTTCATCTTTTTGTTTCTACTAAAGAATGTGTGTTCTTATTGATTGTGTAGTTGATCAAAGTCAAGACGAAATTGAGAATAGCAACTTCTGTAATGTACGTTTTCAATAAGTTTCCAAACATCAATAGTCGAGGGGATGTTTAGTGAGGCCTAGAAGAGCTGAGAGCCAATTGGGTGGAGAGGATTTATTTACATTGGAGTCAAAAATGAGTTGAATAGTCGAGTTAGCTAAGGGAAGTTTAGTTGGCTGCATATCATTGGGAGGAGTGGGTATCTCCCCCCGCTAGTGGCAGAAACCAATTGACTGCGTTTCCACTCCATTAATATGCATTAAGTAGGAACTCCACTAAGTTGAGTCCTGTCTTCGAGGTAAGTCAGCAGTGCATCAAAAACCAGTACCTCCAGTTTCCCAACAGCTCAGATATGGTGTGCCACTGGTGAGATTCTTCAACAGTTCCAAGATGAGGTTTCACTTTTGCCTAACTTGGAGGTAAAGGGAGGGGAAGCAGGAGAAGTTGGATGGTCCAGTCGCAGTCATGCAGAGGAATTGAGAAGAAAATGATGGTGCTGGTCACATCCTGAAATGATACTGCAGTTTTGTTAGCAGAAGGGTGGTAATAGCCATTGGAACCTCAAAAGGGGTAGTACTACAAGGCACTGGCATGTGAGGGAATAGATGATAGGAGGATTCTGAAGGGGGCCAGTCTCTGGTGTTCAGGACAAGTCTCTTGTTGCAGAGGCCTTACCCTCTGTGTCCAAGGGAGGCAACTATTATCACACGTGGTGGGTCAACAGCAAGGAAAGCAATATCAAGTTTAAGTCAGGGCATGTGCATCTGGTGGTGGGGGCGGGTTAAAGGCTTTTGAGGAAAAGTTGAGGAATACTGAAACAAGTAATGGTCAGTGAAGTAAGATTCAAAGAAGATAGCAGTAAGAACAAGAATGAGGAACGAGGGTTGAGTGTCACTGACTCATGGTCAAGGATTATCATTGGAGGCTCCAGGATGTTTGTAATAAGGACCAGGCTGATAGGAGGAAGCTTGAAGGTGACAGAGGTTCATGGACATGGATGGTTGTAGAGTTTCTGTATGTGTCCATTGAAATGGCGGCAAAGGAAGTGTGAGCTCCCAAGAGATCAGATTTTGTGATAGGTCCACGATGGGTTAGCAGGGGTTCGGGGTGTGGCCGAATGTCATGCATTCCCACCAGGAGTAGCTACTCTAGAAATGAAGACCACGTAAATAGAGGTAGTTATATCTTCCTTCACTCAGTTTATTTTGTGAATTCTTTATGGGGCTCACCCTCCTCACTTTTGCCACCTCAGGTGGTGAAGGAGAGGATTCTCCACAAAACAGTCTTGGTCGCACAACATAGGACACAAGGCTAGCAGCTGACACCACCCGAAGGTAAATGAAGTCAGGAGGAACTCAACCACAATCATGTCGGAGATTCTTGGTGCATCGGTACACATTCACAAAGTGGCTCTCTACCTTCAGATGTCAGAATGGGAGTTAGTTGCTGACCTATGCACTCTCTTTCAACAAGACCTGTAGCTATGACTTTGGAGAGAACCCCATGCCAGTTACCTTCACAGTTATTGCAGCCATAGGTTTTTTAGCCAACATCTCATTTCAGGGCTTCACCCAGAGGGATGAGGCATGTATGGCATTTCCCAACCTGCAGCACATAGATGCAAGGATGAGGTGACTAATGACCTGTTCACAAAGACCAACAAACTCACTTAATGCAAACAAGTGGCGATAGTTAGGCTGCAAGAGCGTGGTCCCTGCAAGTACATGGGGTAGTTGACTGCATTTGTGTGGACACTAAAGCTCCCTGAGAACAGCATTTATCAATCAGATGGAGTTTCAGTCTCTTAATGATCAAGTAGTCAGACTTCCAGAATGGGAGTATGCAGGTGTGCGCCGGGACTCCCAACTTCCATATCTGTGTGAAGTTCCTGCCCATGTGCAGTGTTGGATCTTAGACGACAAGTAGGAGAGGCAGGTGAGCTAAGGGAATATGCAGAATCTTGTGTGGATGGTGGAGAAGACCACCCAAGTCTTGCATTCTACTGTTGTTCTGAAATGTGAACACATGGCTTCGTCTTTGAAAAAGTCGGTGATTGCCACAGAGAGCCAGGTTTATTCTACAACCCATGTGCATGAAAACCTGCCTGAAGCTCTGTCCTAAAGCTCAGTACCCCACTGGCCAATTGATGGCAATTCTCATGGCACTATTAAAGATTGAGAGGGAGGAGGAGTAGCATCCTTTGTGGGATTGACTGAGATGGAAGAGAGTTCTTCTGTAGGGACTCCCTGGGTCAATGGGTGCTCTTCATTGCATCTACTGATGAAATCAGAAGTTTCAACAGCTGAGGTCTAGGAGGCCCCCCCATAGGCCAGTGCCCTTAAGGCCACAGACCATCAGTAGATATCTGCCATGGTCAGCATATGCAGTGGGACATTATTGTCAGCAGACTGCCTCAAGTTTCAGTTGAAGTCATGTTCATACCAAGGCACACTATACATTGTGATAAACTATGATTTTTTTTATGGGCACAATTATGGCATTGATGTTGATATTATAAACTTGTAGACGTGCATGTGCAACATAACTGAACATGCACTGTCTGCTGGACTTCATGTAAATGACATGCCAAGGAGATTGTCTACTTGTGGACCTAAAGCAATAGAAATAATGCAGCATGGAAGAGGGCCATTTGGCCTACTTTATTCATGCCGACCTAAAGACACCCAGATGCTCTTCCAAATCCCATCTTCCTGCATATGCCTATAGCTGTGCAGCTTACAGCACTTAAGATCAGATCCAGTACTTTTCAGAAGAGTTTAGGGTCTCTCGTTATGATTTTTTTGCCCAGTATTTCACACTGCTCCTATTGGCTTACTTTATCCACATTATCCCTTTCCTTTTTGAATACAGAGACGAAAAGTTAATTTAATATTCTTCCCATACCTGACAATGACCTGTCAGTGTATTGCTTGAAAAAGCTTCAGTGACTTGTATGTCAGCATGAAGCCCTTATTGTCAGGGCCGTCATCTCTTTTCAGCCTGTGAGATATAGATCAACTTCCTTTGCACTTTAGATGATAGAGGATGTGGCCAATGATGTACCTCCTAATGGAGGTGGGTCAATGTAGGCGCACGCACAAAACAGATAAGGTTTGCAACTGAGTGACTGATGGCTATGTAGACTCCTTATTCCTGGGCAAAACAATTGAAAATGACATGTCTCTTCCCTGGCCCTGAGATCTTGGAGAAGTGCAGCAATATTTCTCTCCTATTCCTGACATTCCTCATGTAGAATCATCTGAGAAGCTTAGTGGCTATCATCCAGGTTGTCACATAGCAACTCATCTCCCCCTTGTGTAGCAACATTGTGCAATGAAATCCAGGCCATGCCCTATGGCATGTATTGGAATGTTCCACTGGACTGATAACGGAAGTGCATTTTCACTGATTCTATGGCTTGTTCTATGATTGATCCGTGTGTGGCATTATAACGCTTCTCGTGGTACTTTGAGGGGAATGTGTCATTAATGATCCTCACTACATGGATTGGCTTAAAATTTTCTTCCAATCTTTTTGAAACTGATGTCCCCAGAGTTTATCTATGACAAAACAAAATAACATTGTGGATAATTTTATTTATTGTTTTCAGCTTTTTGCATAATTTAAACCATTAAATTAAATTTGAATTAACAATTTAGATTGCAAAATTGCTTTCTATTGTTCACCCTTTGCATTTGATGAGAAGAGTTCTTGAGGTTATTTGACGCTGCTGATACAGAAATCAATAAGCCAAACTGCCCCAGAGAATGGTGCAGACCTAGTGTCATTGGCTGATTTTACTGTTTGTGCGGATCATTAGAGTCTTCATAATGGGAGAAAAACCTTTTGAGACACTGCAATTCCAATGAGAGCTGTTTTCAGTGAGAGGTTTCATTGGATGATTATGTTTTAAGACTGTCTGTTTCATTCTAGGTGAGTTCTATCTGACAACAAACTTATACAATAATAGTAATGCAATAAATTACAGAAGGACGCTGTCTAACATTGAAGAGAACCCTTTTGATCCTATTTATTGCCATTTTTGTATGTGTACTCTAGCCGTAGCCCTGGTTGCTCTTTGTTTTTATTTCCAGATGTAAAATACAGTGCACATATTTCAAAAGTCCCTCCCAAGCCCATCCCTGTTCCCAGCTGGGAATAATCTCGGATTAGTTACTGTAAAACCTACAATTCAACAGGGAGCAGGATGTAAAGTATAACTGTGGCCTGAGGCTTTTGGTTCTATTCAGTGTTAGATGGTGGATGTTTTTCTGTAGTTTATTATTCTAGTTCCCTGTTTAAAATATTGTTTAGTTCATGTTAGTTTTTGCTTGTTTGTTCCAATAATGTTCTCAAAAAAATAAAATCATGTTTTGCAAGATAAGTCACTGAGAATTCATATGTCTTCTATTTGTTATCTATGGAAATTGTATTTTGAAGGATGCAAAACTGCAGGCAGGTGACAAGTACACTGAAATTTGTCAGAGTTTGAATGAACAAGATTTCACCATTGCTTTTGTTGTATTCATTGCAAAGGTAACGTAGTTATGTCTGTTGCTTAAATGTTTCTTGGAATGATATGCAATAGTTTACAAAGGTTAAAGGCCATGGCAGAAAACTTAAAAATTGGTTGAAAAGCGGCAACTGAAAAGACAGAAATTGTTGAGATATTAGGTTAACATATGAAGCTTGTGCAAGAGAAAAAGAATCCAGATTGAACACAGTTTGAGTTAGCTAGAATTCAGTTGCTAATAAAACAACTAAATTCAGCAACAGAAAGACAGAAAAGAGAGAGAAATCAAAAGAAAACCTGAATATCCAAAGAGAGGAGAAGGAAAGAAGTGTGAAAAATTGAATCAGGATTTCAAAGGAAAGGCAAAGAGAGTTTCGGAGAGAAAATGAGCAGGAAAATATTGCTTTTGGAAAACTGTAAGCAAAACAAAATATTATAAAGAGAAACCTTGAATTCTAGAGAGAAGATGAAGCAAGGAAAGTTGATCTCGAAGAAAACCTGAGATTACATGAATAAGGAGTAACAGAGAAACTTGCATCTTTACAACAGCAGTAGGAGGTCCAAGAGAGGAGAAAAAAATTCATCTCTGATCATGGAACTGCCTCAAAGCTGCCAGGAAATAATTGACCAGGAATGAACAAATTTGCTTATATTTTCAGTAAAATAGCAAACAGTCTTTAGAGTGTGAAAAGTATTATATTTGAGGCCCAGCATGTTTTGATATTAACCTTGTTTGTTGTGATGTATTCCTTCAATAAGCCTTCCTAATTAGAATAAACTGCTATGAGCATAGGCTACAGTAGCATTGACATTAAAAATACACCTTTTTTGCCTAATACTACTTAGGACAATACAATAGGTGACCCATTAGTCAATTGTATTTGCTAGATTTGGCCTCCATTGTTGCAGTAAGGCAAGAAAAGAAAGAGATTGTAGTTTACAAGGCCACATAAGTTATTTGAATAAAAAAAGTTGGAAAAGCTCAATTTGTCAGAATTGGTCTCTAAGGAATGGGCATATTTAGAGTTTTCTTTTGCTGCCCTTGCAAACAGAATCCCTGAAAGCAATTGACTGTGTGTGTGCTTACCTAGCACAGGGTAATTAAAATGGCCAGGTGTTAACCTTTTATATTATCTGCATCTATTCACAGAAATAATTTTTATTATTTTAAGATTCCAACCAAAATTTGAGGTCAGCTTACAATCTATTGAAGATTTCATTTGTACATGACTGACTTTTCCATGTTATTATTTGTAGACGCTGTTATGAATTTTTAGATTTATTGCTGCAGGAATGGCAAACACATTCCTTGGAAAGGTAAGGTCATATGTAAGAAATTTAAAAGGTGGAATCTATTCATCTATAAAACATGGGGGAGGAATAAAGTGTGGATGGAAGTGATCAATACTCTAATACTTCGGGCATCTTTTTTCCAAAACTGTTGGTGTCTTCTATTTGCAAACCTCTCATGATTATTATGAAGTGTCATAGAAATAATAAATGTGTTCAATATTGTAGGAAAAAAATAAAAGTTGACTATGTTTGCATCTCTACACTGAGAGTAAAGCAATGTAGTGCTTTGTAACATCTGTAACTTTTCTCATGGGATATAGACTTGGCAAGCAAAGCCAGCATTTATTGTGCATCCCTAATTGTGTTTGACAAGATGGTGGTGATCTACCCTTGAACTCCTTAAAACCTGCAACAAAGAGAGTGAGGTCGTATAGAATTTGACCTCATTTTTGTGATTATTGAGGGAGAAGTCATGTAGAACTTTTCCTGATTTTGCTGTTCCCACCACTTCCTGTAGGCCTAGTATGACAGCTGTGAACTTCAACACTTGGTTAGTTCGGTCAGCTTTTGAAATACTTGGCCAGCTCTTGGTGATAGGTATTTAAGTCTTGTACTAAGATTTCATTCTGTGCCACGCTGATGTGCTGACATTTGCAAACAGACTTAAACATGTTAAGGGTATGACAATTTATATAATTCAATTGAATATGTTGTATATAAGCATAACTATATTTTATATTTACATACTTTGTTGCATCTAAGGTTTACCTCAAAAATGAATTCCCAATTTAATGAGATAGTAAGAACTGCCAATGCTGGAGTTTGAGTTAACACAGTGTGGAACTGGAGGAACACAGCAGGCCAGGCCTGAAGAAGGGTCCCGACCTGAAACGTCAGCTTTCCTGCTCATCTGATGCTGCCTGGCCTGCTGTGTTCCTCCAGCTCCACACTGTGTTATTACAATTTAATGAGCTTTTTTGGTAATCAGTTACAATACTTCAAAATCTCAGTTTTCTCAAAAGCGTGAACACTGGTGCCTTGTTTCATTTTAATTTACTGTGCAATTTGTAATAATTGATTGGCTAATGGACAAAACTTGGCTCAGGTTTTACCATAGCTTCTAAAGTTGGTTAAAATGCAAAGGAGCAAAGTATATTTAGTAATATTTAGAGATGGAAATTCAACATTATAAATATTTCCCCATTGAATTTTAGTAAAATGATACCAGTTTACAGTTAAACAGAAAAGTTTTAAAAAGCACAAAACTTTTCTCAAGAAATCAGCTAATTTGATCTAAACAGGTCATGTGACTGCAGCTTGTGTTAGAATGCCATTTGTCTCCAAAGATGAATTGCAGTCTCAGAAATATGTTTTTTTTTTGTCAAGAGATCACTTGAGCTCCCCACATTATTTTCTGTTCAGTATGTTATCTCAGTCACAGGCAACCCTGACTATATATCTTTGTTAGTGCTGCTCTATGATGAGGCACACAAAGGTGAGTTTTCAGAGTTGCACACTGTCTGGTTGCTTTCTCCTCTCTGTTTCTGCTTGATTCCTACATTGACAGCATAGCCAATAACGTGATCAGTGATTGTGAAAAATAAACAATCTTTAATTTGGAATAATACCGTGTTGGTAAGCCAGTTAGTTAGCCATTGCAATCTATATAGGTGGGTTTTACCTTATATTAATATATAAGCACTGAAGTGGTCACAATTTATTGGTTTCAGATATTAATAGATACATCATTGTTTCCTATATTTTGCTTAGACATGTGACTGTTCTGGTGGAGACCATCAAGAAAGGCATTTCCGATGCTGATGCAGAAGCAAGACAGGAGGCTAGAAAGTATGGAACTAATGCAGAGCTTATTAAATTTTTAAAACAATACTTTAAGTCTGCTTTAGATTAACGTTCAGCCCTTTATTGAATTAGAAGTAATATTTTGTACCTATGTAATGCACAGAGAAGGTAACTATAAAATAGAACTTTAACTATAATCTACACTGATATTCAGTTATACAAACACTTGGTTTACTAAATGTAAATCTGTTTAATAAACTGCAATTCAGCACATTGAACACGCTAATTATTCGGTTACAAACTCCTGCTATACTATTTTATATTGTTTTATACATTATTATTTGGTTCTCTGAATGGTTTTTAAAAAATATGCAATAACGTAGTTGTGAGTCATACAAAATGACGGCGGCATGGTGGCTCCTTGGTTAGCCCTGCTGCCTCACAGTGCCAGGGACCTGGGTTCGATTCCACCCTCGGGCGACTGTCTGTGTGGAGTTTGCACATTCTCCCCGTATCTGCATGGGTTTCCTCCGAGTGCTTCGGTTTCCTCCCACAGTCCAAAGATGTGCAAGGTGGATTGCCCATTGTGTTCAGGGATGTGTAGATTAGGTGGGTTATGAGGGATGGGTCTGAATGGGATGCTCTGAGGGGTGGTGCGGACTTATTGGGCCAAAGGGCCTGTTTCCACACTGTAGGGATTCTATGATGCTATGAAAATAACAAACCTCAATTTTGTTTACTGATCCATGCTATCTGGGTTAATTCATTCAAGCAGTAATTGGGGCACCACAATTAGCTCCTGTCACTGAGTTTAAGAGAACACATTAAGCCAGGATTCCGTTATTCAATGTCTTTTGCTTAAAACGGTCAAGGTTTATTTCTCTGAGAACAATGTTTAGCTCAGCTGTGCTTTCTCACTATAAACAAACAGTTTGTTGAAAGTTTCCTTCACTCATGCGCTCAAATGGCAACTTAAGTGAAGTACAACAAGCTGTCAGGGCCTGTGTAATCGCACTGAAAAACTTACTGAAATTGTACAACAGGAAAAAAATGGATTAAGGGGATATGTTCATTTTTCGTCATGGTTTTCAGTGAATCCTAGTTTTTAACTACCATTAAAGGTAGAAGTTATACAAATTTCTTAGTTATTTCTCAACATTAAGTAAATCAAAGTAATTACACAAATCAGAATCTGCCTGTTCATTTTTGAAGAATTATTGGCTGGAACAATAAGTAATAAGGTATTTTTATCTAATTATTTGTAGCTTTCATGTTGGACTTTGATTTTTTTTTCCCTAATTTAGTTAGAATTTAGTTAGGTAGAAGTTATTTAACATTGCTTATAGATGAATCCCAAAAATTCCTTCCAACTATTAAAACTTGTGATATTTAATTTTTTTGCATAGAACTTATTGGAGTCTTCGAAACCATTTTCCTGCAGAAGCTGATGCATTGTACAACTCCCTGGAGCCTTCCTATCAAAAAAGTTTTCAGGCTCACCTGAAGAGTTCCACAAGTGCTGCATCTCTCCCTCATTCGGATCGGTCTTCTTCCAGCTCACAAGAGAGCCTTAAGTATGAAAGCATTATTCCCAAATTATTTTCCAGATAGTAAATAATTGCCTAGCCCAAAATCCTTTTATTATTCATGAAGAATTACTTCCAACAGATTTAGTTATCTATAAGTTGCTGCTGAAGATCACAGGTTGAGTATGTTACTGGCCTGCTATTGTGTTTTGCATTACTTGGGAAGTGTGGTCAGTGGAATTATGACACCAACAGGCTCAAATTGCATTTTATATTGAATCCCAGTAGTGGTGAAATACGTTTTCAAAACATAATTTAAACAAAATTTCTTGACAAAAATCGTTTGGAATTTTTGTGATTGATGGTGCATAGCTCCTGTAAAGATTCATCGTACTTTATGATTAAAAACAGAAAGTGCTAGAAAAACTCGGCATATCTGTGAAAAGAGAAACGATGCTAACATTCCGAGTCTGATATGATCTTCAGAACTCTGTTTTCAACTAAAATTACACTGCATATTTAAGATCAATTCCTTTCATTCACACTGGATGGCTGATTGGAGTAATGCCAACAGTTCAATTCCTGTACTGGATGAGCTCATCTTGCAGGCCCTGCCTTCCAAAACTGCATTCCTTGCTAGAGGTGTGCTGACCCTCAGGTTAAACCCACCACCAGTCGTGTCTCTCCAATGAGAGACAGCACCTATGGGACAATAATAACTTGAACTTTTTTTGGGCATGTATAATTGGATTAACGGAGTGGACAGGATGTAGAATGGTGAGGTCAAAAAGGCTAAAGTGAGTGAAGAGGAAACGGAACTTCATTATTTTAGTGTGGGAGAAGTCCTGCCTTTCTAGAGTGACTACTGTGTTGGACAGAGATTTAAAGAGTGCATATCTGGTGAGATAGATGTTTCTCAGTGGGACAGTGGTGCTTGGAAAATACTGAAATAGGCATGCAAAGTTGAAAGACATCCGCTGCAAGGACAGGAGGGGCATCATAGATAAAATGCCTAGGTGACAGGGCAGAGGATGGAGTGAGTGTAATTATTTATGACTGACAAGGCCCAGATTTTCAAGAATTAAAAGATTTACCAAGATGTTGCCAGGAATGGAGGATTAGAGTTATAAGGAGAAGCTGGATAGGCTGGGACATTTTTCGTTGGAGCGTAGGAGGTTGAGTGGTGACCATATAGAGGTTTACAAAGTCATGAGGGGTGTAAATAAGGTTGAATGGCAGGTGTATTTTCCCTAGGATGGGGGATTTCAAGACGAGGAGGCATATTTTTAAGGTGACAGGAGAAAGATTTAAGAAAGACATGAGAGGCAACTTTTTTTACACAGAGAGTGGTTCATATTTGGAATGAACTTCCAGAGGGAGTGGTGGATGTGGGTACAGTTACATCGTTTAAAAGACATTTGGATGAGTACATGAATAAGAAATGTTCGGAAGGACATGGGCCAAGCGTAGGCAGGTTGGAGTAGTTTAATTTGGGATTATGGTTGGACCGAAAGGTCTGTTTCCATGCTGTATGACTATAAAATGGTTCACATTTATCAAAGTCTCAATTCTTTTGGCAAATACTCTAAGCTATGCACATTCCTGACGTGCAACCACATCACTGTTACTTCACTGCTGCTATGTTAAAAACCTGGATTTCCCTCCGAACTCACTGTATGTGTGACTTCAACCAAATCTCAATAGAAATTAGAGATGGGCAACAAATTCTGGCCTTGCCAATGACACATTCATCCCACCAACAAATAACAAAGGGTCCCTTTGCTATGGATCTAATTTTATTATTTTTCCAATGGCCACAATTCTACAAAAATGAAGTGAGCCTGCTTTTTGTGAGATATGAGATGAGGCCTTTTCTCAAAGCTTAGCAAGATGATTTTTTGCAAGTGTACAGACATTGATTTGTTAGTGACTGCAAAACTCAATTTTGTGAATTTGAGGAGGCTAAGAATACATGAATTATGAACAGAAGTAGGCCAGTTGGATGCTCAGACCTGCCTCTTCATACAAAAAGGTCATGGTTGATCTATTTGTGTTTTGAATTCAACATTCCCATCTTTGCCCACTAACCTTAGGTTTTTATTAGACAAGGGAATCAATCTACCTTGCCCTAAATATTCAATAATTCTGCCTGCCTTCTAAGGCAAAACTTTCAAAGATGGACAATCTTCTAAATTAAAAAAATATTCCACTCCTCTGTGTCCTGAAATGGGAAGCTGTTTATTTTAAACAGTGCCCCCCAGTTCCAGACTCAACCAAAAGAGAAAGCATCCTTTCTATAACCACATTGTCAAGGCCATTCAGGATCTTATATATTTCAGTCAAGTCACCACTCACTCTCCTAAACTTGTATGAAAACAAGCTCAGTCTGTGCAACCTTTTCCTGTAAGACAATCCACTTGTTCCAGGTATCATCCAGAAAACCTCCTCAGAGTCACCTAGCATTTATATTCTTTCTTAAGAATGGAGACAAAAACTAAACACAGTATTTGACACATAACCTCACCAATTCTTAATATAGCTGAAGCAAAACATCCTTACCTTAATGCTGAATTCTTCCTTTCAAAATGAACAACTTCACATTCTTCCACAATATACTCCCATTTGCTGGAAGTTTGCCCAATTACTCAGCCTGTCTATCCCATCTGCATTCTGTTTCGTTAATTGCTGTCTATCTTTGTACCATCTGCAAATTTAGCTACCATGCTTTCACTCCTTTCATCTAAGTAATGATATAAATTGTAATATGATGAGGTCACAGCACTTAGCCTTGTGGGTCTGCATTCATCATATGCTGCCAATCAGAAAAAGACCTATTTATGCATGATGTCTGTTTTCTGCAACCAATCTTTTAACAATATTAATATGTTAGCCTGTACACAAGACCACTTCCTTCTAAAAGGAAAAGGGCAAAAGTTACATGGGAACATCATTGCCTGCAAGGTCCACCCACCAAGCCACTCACTGTCCTGATTTGAAAATATGTTGCCATTCCTTCAGTGTTGCTGGCTCAAAATCCTGCAACACACTCCTGACAGCATTGTGGGTCTACCTATTGCACAGGAACTGCAGCAGTTTGAGAAGGCAACTCACTACCATCTTCTCATGAGCAACTAGGGACATGGAATAAATGCTGGCCAAGCCAGCAATCCCCATGTCCCACAAGTGAATTTAAAAATAAACACCATTAGCCCCTATATGTAATAACCTTTTATGCGGCACCTTATCAAATGCCTAGATCTACAAGATTCCCTTTACCACAGCAGATGTTATTCCTTCAAAGAATTCCAATAAATGTCGTGTCCCTTTCACAAAACCATACTGACTCTTGCTAATTACCTTGAGATTTTCTAAATGCCCGGCTATAACCTCAATAATGATCGATTCTAACACCTTCCCTACAAAAGACATAAAGCCAACTGGCGTATAGGTTCCTGTTTTCAGCCTTCTTCCATTCTCAAATGGAGGCATTGTATTTGTTACTTTCCTGTCTGATGGAACCTTCACTGTACCCAGCACATTTTGGAAAATTAACACCAATGCATCTCCTACCTCATAACTACAATTTGAGACCTATGATGCAATACATCAAAACTCATGGACTCATCAGCCCTCATTTTAACAGTTTTCTCATATTCCTTCCTTAGTGATTGTAATTTCACCAAGTTCTCCTCTTCCTTCTCCACCATCTGATTCTAATTATTATTGCAATGCTTTTCTGCCCTCTACAGTGAAGACAGAAGCAAAATATTTGTTTCGTTCATTCACCATTTCCTTGTCCCCTGTTAACTCCCAGGCCTCACTGTCTAGAAGATCAACACTCATTCACTCTTTTCCTTTTCTAGATACCTTTAGGAACTTATGCTATCAATATTTACATTTCTACATAGCTTTGCATACCCTAATTCCGTTCTTCTAATTAATCTTTAAGTCATTCTCTGTTGTTCTTTATACCCTGTCCAATCATCTGACCTGTTACACACCTTTACACAATTATATGTTTTTTCCTTATCGTTGATACTTTCCTTAACTTATTTAGTTAATCACAGATGATAGGTCCTCACCTTTGAATTCTTTTTAGTTGGGAATATACTTATTGAGTATTCTGACATATTGCACAGAACCATAGCAATGTTACAGAAAAGAACAAAGTCATTCAACCCATTGTGTCTTCTTTTAAATGTTTTTCCATCTTCTCTGTTGATCTGCCCACTACCCTACATGCCTGTTAACTTCAACTAGCCCAGCTTGGTGCCCACATAGTTCCTCATATTCAAGTTTAAACTACTATCCTTAAAGCCATTGTTCTCCCTTGCAAACTGAATACAAAATTAAGTCATAGTATGGTTGCTGCCCTTAGAGTGCCTTTACTCTAAGATCATTAATTAATCTTCTCACACTAGACAATACCATGCCTCATATAACCTATGGTCAGTTCCAGAACTTGCTGCTTTAAGAAACTATAGCATTTTATGAAAGCCTCATCCAGGTGACCATTTATTTCCATCTCTTTATTACTAGCAGCCAATTTTTTTTTTCTATACTTCACCCAACATTAATGGTAGTGTTAGTACACCACCACCACTAGTGACTTCTTTCCCCTAGTATTTCTCCATCCAAAATGTTTCTACATTTTGATGTCTGAAAGTAAGGTCATCTCCAAGTATTGCACAAATACCATCCCTGTCTAATAGTGCTCCACCTCTACTTTGCCTAGCTTTCCATTCATTTTCAATGTTGTGGACCCTGTTCTTGTCATCATGCAACCATATCTTCGTAATAGCTATTAGATCATGTTCACTAAATCCAGTGTGAACTTTTAATTTGTTTGCTTAGTTGAAAATAACCTGGCTTTCTTTTGGTTTTGGGTATATTTTACGTTAGAGAGGGAAAAACAGAGTGAGATGCACCACCTCCTTTTGGAGGTCTGAAGTCTTCAGACCATATTGCTCTCACTCACAAGCTGTTCAGTTACCGAGCAGCCAATCTCACAGTTGTTGGCAAGTAGAACATGTATGTCATCGACAACT